AAGGAGCAGCAATTCTAAAACTTAAGAATATGGCTGGACACTCAGTGATCTATGAGGCTGCGTTCTGAGCAGTCCCCACCCCGACTCTCCTGGGAGCTCCTTCCCACTCCCCACCCCACTTACGACTCCCTTGGGCTTGAACAGGAACATAATCTACATCTTTAAAAGCAGAGTCCATTTCTCCTCCTGAAATATAGGCTACTGTCCCATTAGCCATTCATGTAATAGGCATAGTAGTCCCTCCCCAATGTACCTCAAGCCCAGGTACCATAGGCCACATCCCACAGGATGCAGGCTTATTTCAAGTTCCACCTGTTCACCATGCACCATCCAGAACTACTTTGATCCTGTAAAGGCAGGTGTGTGGGAATCTGCTGACGGGGATACAAGATGGAAGATATCCCTAACTATCCTCTTTTGACGTGGGAAACAGGAGTTGGCCCTGGGGTTGATTGTGTGTGATCAATACAAACCCTCATTACATAGTTGCTCATTTAGAACCAGTTCCTAAACTGGCCTTTGAGAGTCATGGTCAAGGACTTCATATCAGATTAAAAAAAAAATTATAGCAGGGTGAATTAATAATGGCTTCTGTCCTGATCCCTGTGCTTTAAATTTTACACATTAATTATAAGATATGATTTTTGAAAGAGGTGAACAGAGTGATAATGATATCATTGCCAAAAGGAAGTCATTATTTCAAGTCAAGTCTATGTTCTCCCAATATTTATGGTCAGTTTATGGTCAACCATCCTGTCTAGCAAGTTAACTCATCAGTTATCTGAGGAAATGTTTTGGTTTTAGTTATACCTTGAAGGATATGTCAAGAAGGTTCGAGGTCAAAACATTTTGACTGCTTTATTTATTTTTTTTTCCAAATATTGCTGCTACAGGGATTTGCTTGTTCATATCTATCTGAAATATTTTTCTAAATTTTTTTTTAAGTTACACTGAATCATGCTCTGGATGGAGAACTTAAGGACCTTCATCCGATCTCTCCTTGTCCATATACCAAAGTCAACTTCAAATTCTACAGCTTCCTAAGCACCCACTGCGACTTGTATCCAGAGGTAGATCCACACCAGGGTTCTGAGCAGTCCAATCCTGGGAAGGAACAGTCCAATCTCTATAAGAGCCGACTGTCAAGACACTTTCTTTCATTCAATGGTTATATAAAGAAGCTGGCCTCGCGGTAACAAACAGGAAGTACAATGTCCAGCTCACTTCCCAGGTGCTCAATTTTTAAGAAAGCTTGATTGAAAACACTATTTAAGGAGGATGGCCGGAGGGATGTGCAGTCCCTTCTTTCTTCTCTCAGTCCTCTGAAGTCTACCCCAGGCAGCAGAGAGTGGGGCACATGGCCACAAGACGTGGCCTACAGAACATGTGTGGCAGCACCATCATCAGCCCACGTACAGACTTGGTGATAAAGATCCATGAAGAATAACTCATTTCAGGCTTTCTAGAGACTGTGAACCTCTATGTCAAGGATCCTTACTAAGGAGACTCTCATGAAATTTCTCTCTGATTCTCAACGGGAAGCGATTCCCCGTCACTTGAAGAATACTGAAGTTTTCATCTCGTGGATCCTAGGTCTCATGGTACTGAGCACTCCTCCCTCAGCACTGGCTATAGGAGCCTGGGGTCAGGTCTGGAGACCATCTGTGCTTAGAATATTAACGTTGCTGTGACTGTGTCTTATCCTTCCTCTTTGCATTTTCTACTTTACTATCTCTGAGCTTCAAATTCTTTATCTAGGAAAAGGTAATAGGCCGACCCTGAGAGCAAGAATGTGTATGAGCTGCTTGGTATTCTACACACACACACTCTGTATGTTGGAATTACAGCTACCCCTTACAGAGTGCTGACTACGCATCATGATTTATCCCCAGCACTGTGTAAGTGTATTTAATCCTCATGAAACTCTGAGTTCCCTGCTAATATTACACTCATTTATTTATGAGGAAGCTCAGACCCAAAGATGTTAAGAAATCTGACCCAGGTCTCAAATCATGAGTTAAAATTTGGACTTTAACCCAGGCCCCCTAACTCTGAGCTCATGTTCTAGACTTCTACTAAACTAGTAGCCAGTTCTAAACTGGCTACTAGTTCAAAGCTATTTTTTTTAAGAATATTTTCCTTGTCCCATTTTTCCTGTCATTCATGTCTGTTTTCAGAGACGGAGAAAAGTCACATCTAGGGTGACCAACTTGTCCAGCACTTCTTAGTTTGATCACTGAAAACTACCTCCTGCATATACAGACAACTTTGTGCCACTTAGGAAAAAGGATGTCCACTTATTTTTAATGTATTGCTGGTCTTATTCAATATATCTACATAAACTTCCTTAATCCTTTATAGAATAAGGTGAGGTACAGAGAAATACAGAATTTCACATTATATTTGATGCCTCTTAAACATCAATAAAGAACTTTGCATGTGTTTAACACTCAGAGTCACAGATATGCATTCATACATATATTACCTTTGTATCCTTGTTCTGTCTCCCTGAGATCAATTTTGGTTATTGGTTTGAAATCAGTATCCCATAATCGTATACAACCATCTCGCCCACCAGTGGCAAAGCCTTCTTCACAAGCATACATGCTAAATATTCCAGCCTGTTGATTAATAGATAATGCTGCAATCATTATAGTTGCTACAGTTGAATCTTGATTTAAAAACACAAGAGCAAAACAAAAAAAAAATAAAACAGCTTGTTCTCTACTGAAATTCTCACAATAGACCAAAGTAGCCATTTGTAATAGTCTTCAACAACAAGAAAAACAATCCACAGAGTAGCAGTGCATGTCTGTAATCCCAGTTACTCAGGAGGCTGAGGCCAGAGGATCACAAGTGTGAAGCCAGCCTGGGCAACTTAATGAGACCCAGTCACAGAATCAAAAGGGATGGATATATAGCTCACTGCTTGCCGAGCATGTGTGAGGCCCTGGGTTCACTCCCCGGTACTGCAATGATTATAACCATTGCCCCAAGTACTTCTAGTGCTCCTTAACCATTTCTAAATTGATCACAGATTGTATTTTTTAAAAAGCAATGTTTTAGGAACCCAATGGATCTGCCTACATTTTAGGAACCTGTGACACTAATGCAGGAGCCAACACCCAGCACCTCAATGGAGTGAGGAAGGTCTAGTTCACCAACTGGCATGAAAGCAAGAGCTGCCTATGGCCTTCCTAGTCCAACCATGGGCCACAGAGCAGCAGCAGCGGCATCCCAGATCCACTGGGACAGAATCAGTTATTATGAAATATTTTTTTCTCTTTGATGAACAAAAACACTTTGGGAAATCTTCATGAACACTTCAGGAGTATTCGACAGAATGGTCTGAAATACAGGGATATGTGATCTTAACTGATTGAGTAAGTCATTCCCAAATTTCCACGTGGTGATACTCACACTGTGTGCTCCTTGAATGGTGCGGACTAAGTTGAGCCCTTTCCAGACGTAGATGTCACCGTTTAAAGCACCAGAGTAGGTGACGTCTTCTTTGGCACATGCAAGGCAAAGGATGGTCTGAAGATCCCCCGTTTTGCCAAATATCCCTCTTTTTGCAGTTAGGGCATTTCCACATAGTGTCCAAAACTAGCAAGTAAGAGATAAAATAAGTGGATCTAAAATAGAGTACTCTGATGTGCTGCATTACTGGTATTTTCGTGACAGTGCATATTACATAATTTACTATATCTGAATTAGGCACAGATTGTTTCATAGTGACAGCAAAGAAAACATTTCAGCCTACCTCTAGGTCAATGAGAAAATCTTGTGATAATATTTTTTAAACTTTCAATGTTCCAAAATTTCAAAACTTTGCATAATATTTAATAGCAATATGATCGAAAATGCCAATGTTCTCAAACTTGGAATAAAGTAGAGGAGAGCTGGTGTTGTGGCTCAGTGGCAGAGAATTGCCTTTGCACATGTGAGGCACTGGGTTCGATCCTCAGCACCACATAAAAATAAATAAACAAAATAAAGATTTAAAAAATAAATAAATAAATAAATAAAGTAGATGAATCTCTTGATATCAGCATGCTATAGTGACACGACCATATCAATGTTTATAGCAGCTCAATAGCTAAGCTATTGTGCCCTTCAACAGATCAATGGATAAAGAAAAGGTGATACATTTACACAATGGAATATTACTCAGCCACAAAGAAGAATGAAACTCTGGCTTTGCTGGTAAATGGATACAACTGGCAACTATCATGCTATGTGAAATCAGCCAATCCCCTCAAAACCAAAGGCTCAATGTTCTCTCTGATATGCAGATGCTAACTCATAATGAGTGGGGGGTGGGGAGAAGAATAGAAATTGACTGAATTAGAAAAAGATAAATGAAGGGAAGGAAGGGGTATGGGAATAGCAAAGACAGTAGAATGAATTGGACATAACTTTCCTCTGTTCTTATATGAATACACAACCTGTGCAATGCCACAACATGTACAACCACAAAAAATGGGAAGTTATAGTCCATGTATGCATGATATGTCAAAATACATTTTATTGTCATTTTTAACTAAAAAGAACAAATACATTTTTTAAAAAGTAGATGAATCAGGCTGGGTGTGGTGGAACAGGCCTATAATCCCAGTTGTTGAGGAGGCTGAGGAGGGAGGACCGAGAGTTCAAAGGCAGCCTCAGCAATGGCAAGGCACTAAGCAGCTCAATGAGACCCTGTCTCTAAATAAAATACCAAATAGGGCTGGGGATGTGGCTCAGTGGTTGAGTGACCCCAAGTTCAATCCTGGTACTCCCCCCAAAAAAGGGGAGATGAATCATGTTTTTATCTTTTTGTCAAATGATAAAACTGGTTGTTATGATTTAGATAGGACATATCCGCCAAGAGCTCATGTGTGAGAAAATGTAAGAATGTTCAGAGGTGAAGTGATTAGGTTATGAGAGCCATCACCTAATTGGATTAGTCCATAAAAGTGGATTAATCCACTGTTGTGGATTAACTGGGTGTAGACAGGTTGTGGCTAGAGGCATATGTAGGTCACTTGAGGTATGCCTTTCCCATTTATATTTTGTTCCTGGTGAACAGAGCTCTCTCTGCTTCCTGGTTGCCATGTCCTGGGCTGCTTCCCCTTCCCAGGCCTTTCCACCATGATGTTCTGCCTCACCTCAGGCCTAGAGCAATGGAGTCAACCCACTAAACCTCTGAAACCAGGAGCCAACAAACTTTTCCTCCTCTTAAGTTGTCAGGTCTTTTGGTCACAGTGACAACAACAACAACAAAAAGCTGACTCAACCATTAGTATGTTAGTATGGGTTTATTGCAGTGAGGTTTAGAAATAAATAATTTTCCTTTTAATATTTATTTGTAAGTTCCCATAAGCCTATGATATATTGCCCAGGCATTTTTAATGTGTATATATATTTAGAAATAATTGCTTTCTAACTAAAAGCTTTACACCTCTATACTGTAGAAATATGTTTCTAAATATGAGTGATATTTCCATATAGTCAAAGGATTGAATAGGTTTTTCCATTTTAGTTGCACAATTCAAGGGAGGACTATTACCATTAGGGACACTCATAATTACACAGAAATCCAACACTTTTCTTTGATATAGTTTTGAAATATGAAGTGGTATAATTTCACTGCCATTTACGTAGCACCTCACAGTTTATAAAAGTTTCTGCACATGCTGTTTGATCTCTTAAAGAACAGAAGTGTTTCATGATAACTTAATATGCTTGAGAACTGGCCAAAGACAGATTCAACTACTGTCCCCATCTGGCCGTGAGGGAAAGGAGGCATCAGTGACTTGGCAAAGGCACAGGGAAATGGGGGTCATACACGAGGAACCAACGAAATCTTGATATTTACTCTGAGATCTGTAAGTCGATGAAAATGTATATATGGAAAAAAAAAGAATGAGAATTTTAAGACAGCATATTCAGATTATGCACAAGGGACAAGGAAATTCAAAGCTAGAGGAACCCCTGAGTTACATTAAATGGAATGAACAAGGATAGGATTCAGCTCAGTGGAGAGGAAGAAATGACATGAGGCTCAGGAGGACCAGACCAGACACCTCCTGGTGACAGCAGTGTGTGAGGAAGGAAAAAAAAATTCAGTGACAACCCTAATACTATGTGCCTGCAGGAGAGGAAAAGGGCGGTCCCCTGGTGTAGTTGGGTACACGGGGAGGCAGTCTGGGGACGACTGCACCATTGGTAGCATGGTGGGGACTGTGGCAGCCCTGGAGGAAGTGGGAAGGGAAGCAGGTGTGCAGCTATGGGGAGCAACTCAGGACGCCCCTCTTGAGGGAGGAGCGCCATTCATTTCTTTAGGTGGCGTTATTTTTGTGAAAAGGCACTGAAGTGTACATCGAAAGAATAAAAAACATTCAGGGAAAAGGCTAGTTAGGTTTACGCTAAGTTGAGGTTTTAACTCTGAATTTGTACAATGGGACACAAATAATTACTGTTTATACAAATATGACAAAAAAACTTGCTTCGTGGAGATGCCCAAGGCAGGTGTTTTCCTTTCTCGTGTCTCCTCATGAAGGAGGATTAAACAGAGTATTTTGTCCTTTGACTTGAGATGTGCACTGTCAGCTTCAGTTAATTATTTTTTTTTTGATGGACAGCTACACGCATACAAAAAAAAGCCAACACCCTCAGATGTGATCATATAAAGGTTTTCTGATAAAACAATCACCCAGTCAGTAGGTGTAATGACATGAAACATTCTGAATAAATCAAAGGGTTCTCTTAAAAGGCATGTGTAGATATGATGCCAGAAGATTTTCTGCAGAGAATGGAAAATACCCAAGATATTATCTCTTCTCGAGACCATTTTCTATTTGGAAAAGAGTAGCATTGGCATCATTAAATACCCATCCAAATGGAGAGACATTGTTTATCTTCTCCAATCTCCATTCACAAATTGCAATGCAAATTTTGTTAGAACTGGCAGGTGCCTTGGAGTTCATCAAGCCCTAGGTAGTCCCCCAGGCTTCCCAGTTCTACAACTAGAAATTGGAGAAGGCTCAACAGTATGCACAGACCTGTAGGCTCATTTGCTGTAAAACCAATGAAGCAGATGATGCTCAACTGTTACTGTTTTGCAAGCATTCGTTTCAGATAATTGTAATTTGCCTGTTTGCCAAACACAGAACTTACAAAACCAGGAAGGATTTTTTACCCTGGCTACAAAACCTTCACATAAAAATGTTCTCTTGAAATGCAAAGATTTTTGTACCCAACTTGTGACGAAAATCATTCACTCAATGTTAACACAGGTTGGGGAGGGAGAAAATGTGGGGGAATTCTGGAACCCAAATATAGAATATAGGTAGTGAAGACAACTTATCAAAGCCTGCTTAAATTTGTTCTGTTTTTCTAAATAAAATTCATAAAGGCTTTCTGGGTGGACATTTGCAGATTCTTCCATTTGAGGTAAAGATGCTCATTTTTGCTTAGGAAAAAAAATGCTTAAATCTGCTACAATAACCAAACAGGATAAGCAGAAAACAGGATAGTATTTTTGATGGGGATTGAATGATGTCAATGCTACTGTTTTCCACAGGATATTATTTCCAGGATATTTTTTTTTCTAGCATAGTACTTTCAAATAAAGTTCCAGAATTTTATCTGTCTGTGTGTTTAGAACTAAAAGAGTTAACCAAGGATGGAAAGAAATAGGGAGGAAGCTGGAGAATTCTTTCAATTAAACAGCTCATCTAGTTAGAACCCAATTAATGTTATGTTTTGGAGAAAAGTTAAGCCAAGACAGACCATTAAAGAGAGAATTGCTCTGTAGGAAGAACTCTACAAAGGGAGCCAAAGGATGCATTTAAATCTCTCTGCCACCATTTCTGTGATGCCAGGAAATAAGGAAAAATTAACATGGTTGTGCCCCTACTGGTACCATACACTCTTTAATGCAACTCAATGAATTCAGGAGATAGCAATCCCCGTATTTGGTGGTGGGGAGAGGAAGAAAGTCAGTCTCACGGAGATTAAATAGCTTGACCAGGGTCAAGAAAGAGAAACAAAATCAGGATTCAAAATCAAGTACCCTCCTGGGTCTCAGCTTCCTGTGGAAGAAGGTTGGACAGGGAGGGTTGGACTGTGGCTCCCAGGTATCCAGGAAACCACCAGAGCCTAATGGAGATCAGCTCATCATGAGCTCATGATTCTTTACTACTTTACTTGAAAAACAACTCAGTGCTTCTTCCTATCTTCAGCTGATCAGAAACTCATGCCGCAGAGACACATCTTTGATTAATAAAAGGTTGCTAAGGGAACTATTCCTTAATGTCTATTTTGTGCCAAAAATCTTTCAAAACAATGGTTCTCACGCAAAGCAAGCTACATAAAGAAGTTCTTCAACGATGCAACCATTGGTAATCTTGGCACACATCAAGAGCCAAGGACCTTCCTGGCTCCCCAGTGCCATGACTCCATGGGTGACCACAGCCTCCCTAACATCCTGACTTACAGGGAAAGCCTCCCTGGGCTCTGCTGCCTACCAAGGCTCCAGAACAATGTATCTCATACCATATGGGATCTCCTTTACACCCTGGGAGGTTTGGAGTTTTGCCTTTCTTACAGGATGTTCTGTTCCAACATTTTAACTTCTAAACTTCGAGTTACTGAAAACAAGGTCTGTGCTTGCTCTTTCACATAGTTCAAACTCAGCAAATATTTATTAAATGGCACAAGATTTTTGGTCTTTCAGGTGTACTGTACAAAGCATAGGGGAAGGAGCTTCCATCTGCCACTAAAGGCACTGAAGCAAAAAGTGCATGCCATCAGACATCTTCTCAGGTTGAAGATGAGGTCTTTGCACAAGAACTTAAAATGTTTATGAAGCCTTAAGGTCTTGGTAGAACATCTTATACCTTTAAATACCACACTACAAAAATTATTACCAAAATTTCTTGTGATAACAGTATGGCTGCATTTATCTGTAACTAACCCACAAGATTTTTACCCGCTCTGATAGATTATATGATCTAAACTTTAGCTGTAGGAAGAAGACTAAAGGGACATGTACTTTTTTTCTGCATACTTCCCACCCCATTCATTTGGAATAGAGTGATGTGGCTTAGAGTCTTTTCATAACAGGATAATATAAATTTGTGTGATCTTTAGATATTTTGACCTTGGAGAAATAGCTGTTATTATGATAAAACAATAATGTATGCTTCTCCTTATAAGTTTTCTAGGTCCATGTGTTACTGGTACTTATGTGCAAGGTAAATTCTGCATATAAATAATGTACACTAGGGAAAAGTTGGGAATGTGGTGAAACAAGAAGGGCAGTTTGGAGGAATGACAGGATCTACTCGACTCATATAGAAAAGTACCATTTTTGTATTAACAGAGATTCAGACATGCTCCATTCACCAGGATGATTTTTGTACTCTTATTTATGGACTTGGATTTATATTATCTACAACATTATAGACAGAAGATCCTGCACTATATCCCATAGTTCAGGAGAAATTTTTGCTATGTGAAAGCAGAGTATGTTGATGGTATTAATTTTGCTAGCTGTATAACAAAACAAAAAGAAGCAAATGTGGGCCTTGTAGGAGGCAGGTTCAGCCTGTATAGTCTAGAGGAAGGCAGGAGACATTTAAAAACCAATGGCCTGAGCTGGGGATGTAGCTCAATGGTATAGCACTTATGTTGCATGCATGAGGCCCTAGGTTTGATCCCCAATATTGCAAAATTTTTAAAAACCAATGGCTTAGGGGATGGGGTTGTGACTCAGTGGTAGAGCACTTGCCTAGCATGTGTGAGGCACTGGGTTCAATCCTTAGCACCACATAAAATAATAAATAAATAAAAGTTTAAAAGGTTAAAAAAAACCACACCAATAGCTTAGGAAGGACTGTATTGTATCCCTATGTTAAACACCTAAGAAAACACACCAATGTGTCAAAGATGCAAGGAGCAATATCAGTAAACATTCATTATAATATAAAAACTTAATTCATAACATTAAAAAGTGCAACTATTTTAAAACATCCTAGAAGTATCAGAAGTATCCAGTTGAGTATTTAATTAACAAAGTTTCTTTCTCAGCTGCCTGATGAGTGCTTCACTTGATTATCATGACTTTGTATTTCTGAAAGAGCACTATCAGCTGATGCTGCTTGCTTCAGGATCAGGGAAACAGGTAAAAGGGCTTCAGGTTTAAGGAAAAAAAGTCAAGTCAAGCAGTCTCTCAACCCCCAATTATATTGACACCTAAATTTCTTTTCAATCAAGGTATAAAAAATTTGTTTAATAACTACTTTACCTTTATATGCTTTACTCCACAGCTAACCACTCTGTTTGGCTGATATGGATCCCAAGAAATATCAAAAATCTGTAAAAAAAAAAAAAAGTTGGTCATTTTATGTGTTTCTATCTTCTTCTGAAAACCAGTACAACTGCTAAGTCTCTATCCCAAAACACTTAGAGTACAACGTAACCTGCACAGAATGGAAAACTGGGATTCAGCTTTGGGAACAAGTCAGGTACAGCTAACTCTTCACCACCTCATGTCTACTTACCTTTGGCCTGAATAGAGAGGTAATTAACCCCAGAACTGGGAACTAGCATCATATTTTATTTTTGTTCATCTGGGATAAACAAATTCTCATGATTTAGGGTAATTTTTAAATCAAATTTCTACCTTTATTTGCAGTGCAGATAAAACACTTTGGAGACTGTTTTTCAATAAAAATTAAAAGAATTATAAAATGCTTTCTTTTAGCTAGGAAGATTTTTGTCAATTACAACTTAATGTGACCAACATCTTCTAATCATCACAGAATGTGAGACAAAGTTAGTTATCTGACACTAATTAGCCCACCTAAAATAGTCCTTTAAACCTTCATTTTAATTTGACCCAAAATACTCACATTTCCAATTCTCTAAGGAACTGAAAACACAGGAGCTAATCCTATTTGTCATTCTTTAAAAGCTACCAGAGAGACTACAGGGAGTTCCATTTCTATTTGGAGACAGGGAAGAGAGGTCCACCAACACTGAAAGTCAAATGTGTCTATCCTGATTGTTTAAAATATGTTTTTCTAGGATTCATTCAAGACACTCTCATTAGGTGGTTTTGGAATAGAGTCTACAACATTATAGACAGAAGATTCTGCATCATATTCCATAGTTTTCTAAGTAAGACCTGATTTTTTAAATAGTCTCCAGGAGATTCTGATGCAGGTGGTCCATGGACCACATTCTGTGAAGTACTCAGAAGGGGAAGGGAACAATTGTCAGGGACAAAGTCTAGACAAGCGAAGGAACCTAAGCCTCTAGCTTGTCATCACCTAGAAAGGAGCAATCATGGGCTCCAGAAAGTGCACTAAAGAAAAAAGACTTGGTCCAAGGATTCATTTTCCCTATTTGAGCTCAGTCCCAGCATCTCTAACCTTAACTTCATTATCTCCAAAATGGATAATTCTACCTCAGTTTGGTTATAAGTTAAGATGGGCTGGGGTTGTGGCTCAGTGGTAGAATGCTTGCCTAGCATGTGTGAGGCTCTGGGTTTGATTCTCAGCACCATATATAAATAAATGAATAAAATAAAGGCCTATCAACATCTAAATATATATATATAAGATCAGTTAAGATAATGTAAATGAAATCACTTTGCAGGTTACAAAGCACTATTATACAAATGTAATATGTTAAGTATTTTAGTGACTAAAATAATATTGAAGTTAATCATAAGTAACCAATAACTCATACTGGCACCAATAATAAAGACATCAGTAATAAAGAACAAACTATGTGATACAAATTAACAGGGCCTAGGGACAGTGGAAAGTATTTCATTAAAGCAATCTGGACTCTTTTCTCAGTAGACTAACACTGCACTTTTTATAATCTACCCCCCAATTGGAAAATATAACTGTGCAAAAAGGACAGTCATTGAGATCAGATAAGCTGGTCATGTGACATGTTAAAAGCAGCAACTTAGAGAAATTAAATTTAACTGAACAGAGGCCTTTGCAAACTGGGCAGCCCTCAGGACCAGCATAGATTCAGGAGCTCCACCCTGAAACATATGCAGGCAGGACACATAAGTCAGGTACCAATAGCTCAGATGGTGCTAGAGCTTGGCATTTGCCTCATTTACGCATGGTCTGCTCAGTTGGCAGCCTGCAATTCACTGAAGCTCAGCTGCTATGATAGGCTGAGCCTCAGTTATTTGTTTCAAAAGTACACTTCTAAGTTAGGCTTTTGGTTTGTAGATTGGTAGGGACTTAAGACATGGAGACAGGGTCAGGCCAAATTTAGTTTAACAGGAATTTAACAGCACACTAAAAGCACTTTATATATACAAAGGTATAGAAAGTTTGTATACAAAGGTCTACACATCAGGCCATTTTTCTAAGTAAGGATATTTTACTGGTTATAAGCATTTATAATATTTTTTCCAAGGCAATAGGTCCAAAAGTCTAATATAGTATATTAAATCAGACTAATGTAATATATTAGATCAGGCTGTATAAAATGATGCAGAATTAGAAATAGTAATTTCAGAATTACTTAGAAATTACATGAAGTTTGTTTTCATCAGAGTTGGTTAGGGCATCCCATTCCTGTGTACTGGGTCTCAAGTCCACTTTTGGTAATCACTGGCTGTTCATGTGTTAATCCAGTCCAACACAACTTGCAAGATATGTATAATAGGATCACAGTATGAGCAGGAAAAGTAACAACCAAAATTCAAGAACTGAAATATTTCAACCTAAATATTTCATTAAGTACTAAGTATCTATTAAACTCAGATCCCTGGGGTCAGGGGAAAAACTCAGTGGGACAGTGCTTGTCCAGCATACACAAGGTCCTGGGTTCAAACCCCAGCACTGAAAGAGAAAAAAAAAGAAATAAAATCCTTGAGGGTAAAGTCCTTTTGTTACTATGCAGTAAAATCTCTCTAGGGGATTCTATATGCAGCTAGGGTTGGGATCCACTGAATCAAAGGGGCCCTGGTCCTTTTTCAACACTTAAATTATATTGCTTGTCACTGCTAGGTTTTGTGAAGACCTGTTCCTGGAGAGGAATTTGCTGTGAAGTCCCTTCATAACTATACATCTCCGGATGAACGTAACATTCTTATAAAATATTTTCAGAGTTCCAATTATGCAAGAGATGATGAACTTAAAGTTTAATTATGGCCTCATTCTATATAGAAAGATAATTATATTGTATAGAAACACAAAACAACTAGAAATTCAAGGTAAGATATTCATGCAAGTTCATTTTTCTTTTAAACTAGAAAGCAAGACAAGAAAGGAGTCGAATTATTCAAGTATGCAAGACACTGGAGAAATTTGAATTCTGACCAGTTGTGTGCATATAGCTGCTCCATTCTTTACCTTGCCAGCCATGACTACGTGGAATTAACATTTCTCATCACACTGACTTCCATATGAATGGTAATCAGGCCACAGTGTGCATTCAACATTCTCAAATATAACAATCACAAAATTGTCATTACAGTCATTTGAAATTAAAATGCATACCCTTATAATCATGAATATTTCTAGCAACTATTTCCATGTCTAAATGAATACATCTAAACTACATATATAATTTAAATTTTAATTCTATTTTGATTTTAGGAAGAAGTCAAGTGCCAGCATCAAAAGTTTGTTTTAGGGCTGGAGTTGTAGCTCAGTGGTAGAGCACTTGCCTCGCAACTATGAGGCACTGGGTTCAATCCAGCACCACATAAAAACAAACAAAGGCATTGAGTCTATATACAACTTAAGAAAAAAAAAAGATTAAAAAACGTTTCTTCATCTATGAAAAGCAGTAGAAATTCAAGAATTCTAGAAGCAATGATGCTAACATAGCACACTATATCATTAGTAAAAGAAATAGTATGTTTAAAAGAAATAGTATGTTTATAAATTGACTTTGTAGGGGAAAAAAACCTACATGTAACACATTTATTTTTTAGAAATATACTAATCTGAGAAGCAATATCACAATTATGCTACAGTTTTGAAAACTGCATAGTTTGATCTAACAAAGGTCTTACCCGGTCGGAATGGCCAGTGGCTGAGGCCAGAAGTTTTCCCTTCCTCCAATCCCAAATGCAGACAGTGTTTTTGGCATCCAGTCCTACAGAGGCTAAACGCTAAAAAAAAAAAAAAAAAAGAATAATTTAATATCTGAAAGTGATGTGAAGATTTCCTATTACTCATGTTTACTTTCAACAAATAGTGATTTCTTCCTATAGGACAGGCATTGAATTTCTTATGAACTGATTTCTTGAAATCCATTCTAAACACAGAGCAAAAGGTATAATAGATGACTTCCATTAGTAGGTACCAAAATTTTAAAAAACTAAAAGCCACTGCTCATGTGTCTTTTTGAAAAAAGGAAGAACATATTCAAACTCTCATGAGGTCCTGAAAGATCAGCGGAAGTTATAGGACCAGAACTTGAAAGCAAGGGTTAAATTTTTATTTTTTTTTTTTTAGTTTAACATCTTAATGTCAGACCTAGGAAACTCAGAGATTTTAAAACATGTCCTTAAGAAAGGTCTATGCTGTAATTTTTCATCAAGGGTTTCAGCAATGGAAATAAGATGTGGTTGTGTTTTTATTCATATAATTAGAATGGGTGAATTCCACTCATTTTTTTTAAGTAGTAAAAAATAAAAAGAAAGAAAGCAGCTAAACATGGGAAAGGTAAGATTCTTATTTGAATGAAAAAAAGTCAAAAGAAATGGATATTGTTCATTTGTAGTTACCTACAAAAGCATTTTTTTGTTTTTAATTTTTTTTTGGTTGTTGATAGACCGTTATTTAATTTATTTTTTATGTGGTGCTGAGAATCGAACACAGTGCCTCACACATGCTAGACAAGTGCTCTACCACTGAACCACTTACCCCTAGATAAGCATTGCTATTGCCTTTTGTCAATTGTGAACTAATGGGCCATTTATTGTTTTTTAAATATCATTTGGTTCCAGTGAACTCTGTCCAGGGAATATAGCAGACCTGAAGCAATAGGCATCAACAAGCCGTGAAATCCATAATTGTAAACAAATAAGAGTTATTTTTCTCAATTGATAGTTGCCTATCCGCAATCCACCCCATCCCATCCTTCAAAATAAAGCCCTAAGGGAATAGCTAGGATTCTAAATGAAATAACATGTACGAAGAACTAATAGTTAAAGATGGATCACCCTCCACTGCATTACATTTTCTTGTTATATTTCAGAACAAATTTTATATGTTTGCTTGAAGTAATGAGATTAGAGAATGTGCGTATAGATACACATAGAAGCACAAATTTACACTTATACATACATATGCATCCTGACACATTCGTTCAATTTAATCAGGAGGAAGTCAATAAAACTGCAAGCCTGAACAAATTATCACTACCCAGCCACCACTGCTCTTTAGATGTGGCATGTATGCATCATTCTGACAAAACTGAATGAGGTTACCAACTAGTAAAATTAAAATCACATATGTCAGGGGCCTACATATATAACAAATCTAGCGCTAGAAAGAAATAAGGACAAAGTTTGACTGAATAATGACTAAACTAGCAGAGAACACCAAGTAAATGTGAATTATTTAAAAAGAAGTCAAACCTGGTCACCTCCTATAATTACTGATTTTTTTTTTTATAAACTCCTAGTTGTCAAGCTTCTGTGAATAATATCCCAGATCATTTCATGGCACTGATTTACAAAAACAAGTCCAAAATTTACCAAAAACTGAATTGAAGGAATTAACTGACAGAAGATGATAAAGACAAAGGAAGGGTGGCAAAGGCACATGGAGAAGCACATGCAGTGGCAGCCAGGAATGACCATTTCCATCCTTTACTGTAACATATTAACATCTTTTCTGGCAAGCGTTGCTATAGATCCAGTGAAGTGGGGATATCTTTGTTGTAGAGACTGGGAAGGTTTCACAAGGACCCTTGAAGTGTCTTCAAAGAATGGTTCTCTTCAAGGGGCCACGCAAGTAAGCAAAGCACAAGACCTGGCAGAGGAATCTTACTAACTTGTCCAATTTGATTACTTTGGAACTTGGAGCTAACCTAGAAGGCCCATCTACAAGGTGTGGAATTCACTCAATGGTACCCTGAGATCTTACTGGTTTTAAAGAATGGTTTAACGCTTCCTTCAGTTGATGAAAAGCGTTATCAAGAAACTATGAGGGGACCAGAAGTTACTTAAACTAAATTGGACATGGCTCCAATTTGGAACTTAGTGGACAGTGGCAGTGAGAATGGGAAGGGGAGAATGATTGTCAGAGTTATTGTAAAGAAACCTGAAACTTATAAATACGCAGGAATTGATGACTGCTCGAATTGGGAGTGGTGGGGAGAAGGAGTCAGAAATGACCTCAAGGTAAAGAGTCAAAGAGAATCTTCTCAGTGGATTATTAGGTGGTGTTACCTTCTGAAATCAAGGGGTAGAACATGATGCTCAGGACTTGAGGTCTGCAAAAATGGCTGGGTCCAGTCCTTATTCTAAGCGGGAAGCTACAATGGATGTCAAAATGGAATTGCTGAATCATGGTGGGCCTACCTTCATAAGCTCATGACTTCTTCTATGGAGGTTTTTTTTAAACCAGACAGTGGGACTGGGGGAACCAACGCTGGTGCATACACAGAGCTTGATATCAGAACAACAAGCTTGGAAAAGGGTCAAAGCTGTGAGAAATTCAAGGAAGAAGGCTGCCAAGAGAAGCCAGCAAAGGTTGGCTATGTGCCTTCTAATTTTAGGTGAATTGTAAAAAGTGATTAAGGAAAACATAAACAGAGAAAGATACACACCTGTCCATCTGAGTCGAAAGCCAAGCAGGCAACTCCATGTGTGTGAACATCTTTGAGAATAGACACAGTCTGGACATTATAGGAATCCCATATGCAAATATACGGCTCCTTCCCAACTTGGCCAGTTGCAATGAGAGTTTTATCTGGGTGTAAGGCAAGGCTGAAAGAGAAAAATGTCCTCTTTTTACATCTTCCAATTACATAAAAGGCAGACAGTGATCATCTTTTATTCAAATTTGTTTCTCATTTTAAATCATCTAATGAGCTGATTTCAAAACCAAGAGTCTAAGGTATCCCAAAGTAATTAATTACCTGATGGGTCCAAGTTGAAATGTTTAACTTTGGTAAAGAGAGGGTTAGTACAATTTGATGATTTCATCTGATCTTACCTATTTGGTTACCTTGTAAAGCAGATACTATTATAATTCTCCAATTAGAAAATCTGTATGAGTCTATAATGCTTAATATGATGATGGGTACTTACAAAACATTGCTCTACTTTCAAGCTAGCTTTTGACTTAAATTTAGTGGGGGGAACCTTGTTGCTAGGAGAAAGTTCACTTCTCCAATCAATTAAACCTGCCTGCAGGAGCACTGCATACTGTCCTCATTAGGATTTCAAAGCACGGACAGGTCTCAAAGTGAAGTGCTGTTTCTGAGGCCATTGTCATAGATGATGCATTTTAAATGAAAATCTCCATTTTACATAAATCACTGTGACACCAAGAGAACTGCCAATTACTAGGCTGGTGGTTTGTGTAGCAATTTTCCTCAGTAGTCCAATCAAAATAAAATTTTGTCAAAAAATTCAAGGAATCTGTAGCAGTCGAGAGAGAAAGGTTATCATCATTATTCCTAGGTGAAAAATCACTATAATGTTTCAAATTCATTGCATGAAGAAGTTGTGCCTTCTAAAAACATGTGTTAGAATTTTAAAAAATAAAAACAAAAAAGAACACATTACCCAAGGAAACTGATAATTCTGTTCACAGAATAAGCAGAAATACAAGGTTTTACAAATTCAATTTTCAGTATCTGCTCAGTGAAGAAAAGTAGACTTAAGAGTCTACTCTTAGATGTGTGCTCTTATTAATTTCCATATGTTATTAAGTATATGCTCTGGAATAGGACACCTGGATTTGCCTATTGGCTGCCCTTTACTATCTCTGGTTTCTATGGACAAATTAATTTTTTGTGGGCAAATTGCTGTCTTTTGCTTGCTTTCCTCATCAACCAAATAGAGATACTATATAGAAATAGATGATGTAATCAATCTAAAGCATTTACTACAGTGCCCAGCACAGGCTGAGAACAGTACAAGTTTCATCATCATCATCTGTGTGACTGGCATTATATAGATATGAGCAACACATGCATGTCTGTTTGATTTTGAAAGGGCATGTTGCACCCAAACAGTTTTAAATGCCAGTTAGACATGTACAAGTGTCTTCTAGAAAATATCCTTGAGGATCTTTATAAGGAAGTAATATAAAAAAACGAAACTCATTCACAACAGGTGAATGATAGGGCTTTGAAACTTTCTACGCTTGTAGTACCTTTTAGCAATTTAGAGTTGTTAAGAGATGATAGACAAAGTATAAAAGGAGCCTCCCAGTCTGTTTTTTGGGGGATATATCTGGTAGATGGCTTATAAGTATGATAGTTTTCCATTATTAAAAAAACTGAGATAACTAAGTTGAGGAGAGAATAGGTTTATTTTGGCTGTTTCAGAGGTTTCAGCCCTTAATCAACTGGCCCCATTCCTTTGGCCAACTGCATGATGCAGCAGCACATGATACAGAGTAACACATCATGAATGGGAGAAGCAAACGGAAGTGAAAGAGGAAGGGCTCTTCCCCCTCCTCTTCCCCCAATGGTCTCCCACCAGGTCCTAACACCTCTCAACAGCCCCCACACCAGGGAGCAGGTGTTCACTACCTGGACCTTTGGGAAACACTTCAGATGCAAACTACAGCAGGAAATATCCTAGCAAACTGCAGGAAGATTAGAAATGCCATGCATGTGTCATTAAACTAAGTGGCTGGAGGCTGTCTATGAAAACCCTGTGACCAACTGGTATATTTTATTTCATTAATTCATTAAACAAAACTAAGGATTGGGTATGTGAGATATAGTGTAATAGATATATAAACAGAAAAGACATTGCCTGTGTTTCACAGAGCCCACCTTAAGGAGGACAGACATATAAAGAAATAATTATATAATATCATCATTGTATGTGTGGGCATTGTATGTGTGCATGCCCACACATACAATGACATAGCAAGAGGGAACATGGAGAGACCAGCTACACAGGATATTAGAGAAAGTTTAACTTCATATAAAAGACAAGATGCAAAAGGGGATTCATGGAAAAAGACAATTGGGCACAAGATGAGATGGGTCCAGCAGGCAAGGGCAGCTGATGAAAGTCCACTTAACCAGGCTGGGAAGTTAGGTCACCACCAACTATTACAAGCATGTTTCACAGTAAAATGCAAAGGACAGATAAGTCATGGGTATTCATGGGAGAGGCAAAGAAATTAGCTAGGAACTGTGGGGGAGATAGTGAGATAAGATAGGTAAAGGATGAATCAGGAGCTTTTAGGGAAAGAGAAAAAGAGGGTTTAGAATGTTTGAGGTTAAGGAAAAACATGAGCATATCAAAGTCAATAGAAGTTTTTGGCTTGGGCAACTGGGTTTTGTGACACACAGAGTACACTAGAATCTGAAGCCTGTGAGTCTGTCTTTGGGAAAATTGGTCTGAATTCCATCCAATTTTTAGTGGGGAAACCAAGGAGATGTCCTCAGGTGAGCACTGGAGTCCTAAGGGCCATGAATAAGAGGATTTGACTGAGTGCATACTTAATAAAAGCAGTTGTTTTCCAACATTAAATAGTTCCTAGAATATGATATGGCAAGAGTAAGCATTAAATACTTGCAGAAGGGAGGAATATGGTGAAATAGAGGCATCCAGAAATTGTTCACAGGAGAGACTATAGCAACAGGCATACAACCATACATGCAGGTAAGTAGCAGTGGGCAAGTACCAGAAATCAACAGCAGAGAAATCAAGACCTGGTGAAATTCATAAACTAGCAATTACAGCAAGAGAAATGGAGAACCACAACACCTTGTAGAAGTACCACATCCAGGAGAAGGGAACTCTCTAAAAGTAAAACAGAAAGTTGCATGATGGTGCAGAAGTCTATATCCCACAGACATACAGCCTAAAGCAAGAAGAGATGTGGAATCTGCCCAGCAGGTTAACCTTAGAGAAGTTCACTTCAACCCCCTTGAGAAGGGTCCTATTATCTGAAACTGTACTGCTTTGTGGTTCAGAAGCCCCAGCATATTCATATCTCCTGGACCCTGTGGACACGCTACTGTGTTGGCTGGGCAGTGGTAGACTCAAGAGTCTTGGCTTAAGGGAGTGACTGGAACACAAGCCTGCTGGGAGTTCTATTCTGTAGGTCTTGATGCAGAGAAAAGCATAGGATACTGCCCTTTGGAGTCAACAGATAGAGGGGTCTGCCCTCTGAGATGTGGGGAAAGAAGAGTCAGCTGTGATTTTGCCCAGGAGCCAGGATTGAGGATGACAGATCCTTCAGTTCCTTTACCCCATTCCAGCACAGAACTTGGTGGTTTGGTTGCCCCCTCTGCCTTTGGAGGCATTGAGGATCTGCCATGGTGGAGGAAGGGAAAGTCACATTTAAAGTCAAACCCATTGAACTAACAGAAGATTTCTTAGAAGAAACCCTAAAGGCCAGGAGGACATGATGGATGCATTTCAAATCCTGTAAGAAAGCAACTGTCAACCAAGATTACTACGCCCAGCGACATTATCCTTCAGAATCAACAAAGAAAATCCTTCCAAGAAAAGAATAAACAAAGGGAATTCATGACCACTAGACCAACATTTCAAAAGAGGCTTAAGGAAAATTTACACCTCAAAGAGGAAGAAAGATAATCACCATCATGACAGCACATGGAAGAATCAATCCCATTAGAAGAGATGTACAAATGAGAAATGAAACATTATCAAAAAAGTAAACTATCAAACTTAAAAGACAAATAAAAACAAAAAATATGAAAAATAACCAGAAAAAAATAAATCAATAAAATGACAGGAAAAAGTCTATACTTTTCAGTAATAACCAAATATAAATGGTATTAATTCTCTGATAAAAAGACCAAGTGTGATGGCGCGCACTGATAAGCCCAGCAACTAAGAGGGCTGAGGCAGGAAGATCAAAAATTCAAGGCCAATCTTGATAACTTAGTGAGACTGTCTCAAAAACAATAAGTGAAACATCCCTGGGGATGTAGCTCAGTGGTACATCAATCCCCAGTACTCCCCCCTTTCAAAACAAAAAAAAAAAAGAAAGAAAGAAAAGAAAAGAAAAAAACCCAACAGACTGGATTAAAAATAAGAACCAACAATACCCTGTCTCTTAGAAACTTGCCTTATGTGCAAAGATATTCAGACAGAAGGTGAAAAGATGGTATATTAGTCAGCTTTTCATCATTGTGACCAAAATATCTGACAACAACTTAGAAGAAGGAAAGTTTATCTGGGGCTTAGTTTCAGGGTCCTTCCATGGTCAGACAACTCCACTGCTCTGGGTCTGAAATGAAGCAGAACATGATGGTAGGGGAAAGCTGCTCAGCTCATGGCAGCCAGAAGTAGAAAGGAGAGCAGGAGCAAGAAACCAAATATAACCCTCAAGGGCACATTCCCCATGGCCTACTTCCAGTCACACCATACCTGCCTACAGTTACCACCTGTAATCCACACAAAATTATTAATCCATCAGATGTATTGATCTACCAGTTAGGTCATAACTTTGATCATCTAATTATTTCATATCTGAACTTTCCCTCATTGTCTACCATTAACTTTTGGGGGGACATCTCATCCAAATAACAGATGGAAAAATCATGTGAATGGAATTCGAAAGCAAGCAGGAGTAGTTGTACTTATATCTAATAAAATAGACTTTAAGACAAAATCAGTAGACAAAGGAGGTTACTATATATTGATCAAGGGAAAATTCATCAAGAAGACATGATGATTATAAATTTATATGCCCCAAACATTGGAGCACCCATCATATAAAATAAACAGCACTAGATGTAAAGGGAGAGAAAGACCCAATA